AATACCTTTAGACCCCCAAAATGCAGTGACCCCACACTTCTAGGAAATCACTGCTTATGATTTCAAAACAAAATACAGCCACCTACCCTCTGACACCACGATAAGCCAAATCATTAACACCTGTAAATAAAATGCTATTTTGTTAAAGAATAGTGATCTCTATTGTTATGATTTTTCATCTAATATCCAAAGTTAATGCTAGAGTAGAAAACTGGAACCAAATAAAAACATTTTGTAATGTTTACATTCTGACTACCAGGAAGAGAACCATATTCAAAACACTGTAAGAAAACAAAATTAATTCAAAGTTACCAAGAAAAGCTACCTAGTGGTTGTTCTGTGCAAAAGTCATTAATCACATCTTTCAATAAAAAGGTAGTTTTTATTTGAGGTTTATCAGAAATAATTAAGAAAAGTGGATTGTTAGAGGAGTAAAAATACTGATAACACACTAACAAGAAGTAATCATATATCAAGTGATGGGATGTGTTTCCCAATTGGGACTTTTACTTTATATTTATTAACCTTTGTGCTCAACTGTTTCATACTACTCTAGGATTTGATTATTTTTTCTCCTGCTGGAATGAATGACACTGTCTGCTTATGTAGCACCTAAGGTCTATTTATCTATCCATATGTAGATGAATAGTTTTCTAAGTGCAGATCATTTTGTGTGCATATGTATATTGGGGGTATGTATTTGGGTAATTTTGTTAAAATTGTTTCCCTTAATTGGGAGTTGGGTGAAGAAAGGTGAAGGACAATAATATGAGCACTCAAATAAATCCCAAAGATTTTAAGGACAATAATGTGAGCACTTAAATAAATCTCAAGCTTTTGAGTCATTCAAAAGAAAATGGAGAGGAACTTTCACTGCTATTATAGAATTCATGAGGGAAAAAAAGTCAGGAAAATACTGGTAAGGTGTGACAGGATACCAAGAGTGCTTCAATAAACAGACTATAAAGTTCTTCAAAAGTCAACCTTTTTTTTCCCCTCAATTAAGTTATTAGTGCAATAAATTCACCTTCCATTTTATAAGGCTCAGTAAAATTGCCCTGTGGTCAAGAGTATTTTTCCTGTGTCCCACATAACTAGTGAAATGCCAGTACGATTTTTACATGGGCTGGGAACTGCAATTTATGAGTTTGTACCTTTGACCTCAGAATGCATAGTAACAGTGTCTGCATTGGATCTTCAACCCAAATTGTGCTCCTCTCCATTCTACAACTTCTTTTTAAATTCCTCCCATCATACTTTCACCTCTCACAAGGTCAGGGATTATATTGGAAACTCACACTTTGAGCAAACAGTGCCAGGGGATCTAAAAGTTGTGTTGGAAAAAGCAGCTGGGGCTCTAATGGGGAAACAAGCCCTGCCTCTCAGCTTGGAGCTGGAGCCTCCTCCTCCAGACAGTACATTGTGGCAAGAGTGCTCACAGCCTATCTAGGCCATGGCGCCTTGAATTAAGATGTAATTACTATCCTGGCAGTCCAACCCTTACTAAGGATAAACAGGTGGGTGCAGTTGGCAGTAACTGATCCCTTTCTCTGGCTCAGAAAGAACCTGGCACAATCCCCACAATGGTTGGCGATCCCAGAAGCCCTAATCATCAGGTAATTGCTTGACTGTGGCTGGATTGGTCTTGGGGGCTCCAAGTACCTGATAAGAAAAGGGATAGAGCCCTTGAAACCAATTATTCTCCTGATGTACTTGGCATTTTAGTAGAAAGCAACCTGGGATCACATTAGATTTTTAACAGAGACTTTTCCACCGGTATCTTAATCAATATATTAGGCTTTCCTCCCTCATCGTGGCTTTCTTTGGGTCACAAACAGAAAGCGGTAGGTATTCTTAGTGTGGTGAGAATAATATAGATTCAGGAAAAGAAAAACTGACAGTTAAACCTGCTAGGCCAGGAAAACAAGCAATTATCTGAAAAATTTCGACCCCTAATCTTTTATGTCCTGCACTGCTCAAATAACTCAGGTGAAAATGGGGATTCTCCTAAATTGTCTCAAAATGACTTCAATTTCCTTTTTTGCTAGTGGAGATTTTGTTGCATTGTGCTTTTTTCAGCTGAAAGGCGTTTCAAACAAGAATGAGGATGGACATTGTTCTGTGTCAATGGCGGGGACGTGGGTTTTCTGAGAGAGGAGTGTGATTGCATGTG